ACTGTACCTCAGAAACTAACATAACACCTAACTAACGGAGGTCCCTGCTCCCATGGAACATTCCTCACAGGAGGAACTGTTGTCTTCTCCACTTAAAAATCTCAAGGTTTAGGAGAGTGTTTTCATTCTAAACATAAAGAAGGCTCAGAAGCAGTTTTGGAAACCACTGGGCCTGTCTTCACTCCAAAGGAGTGTGGGACATTTGTGAGCATTACTGGAGTGGAATGACCCTGGCAAAGGAAGTGGGGTGAAACATTATTTTACCTGATGTTTCATCTTTGGTAACTTGATTTTATACAATAACAAGAACCAAACGATTTCCAAATACACTGGTATTTTACATTAACAGTAATAATTATGTTTTTATGCAGATGTATGGTAGCAGGCTCTTTAATATAAAGAGATACTTTAATATAAAGTAGCAGGCATTGCTTTAATACAGGCCACTGTTAAAGTAGCAGGTTATAATAATANGTTTGTATTTATTGAAATATTATCAGAGAATTAAGTTGAAATCTCTCTAAATGGTGTATTGTGTTTCAGCTGTTTATTAACAACGAATGGCAGGAAGCTGTGAGTGGGAAAACCTTTCCTACAATCAATCCATCCACTGGAGAAATCATCTGCCAGGTTGCAGAGGCTGATAAGGTAAATGACAGGAAGAAGATGCACTTAGCATGAGTTACAATGTTTGCTTTTCATTTGTCCTTTTTAATTAGATGCTGTTAAAAATGCAGAAAATATTAAGCCAGCTAGGATGAGCTTCCTCTGCAGGGTGACTGGACTCGGCCTCAGAGATGGGATGAGGAGCTTATAGCAGAGCTGCTGCTTCTCTGCATCCACAAGAGTCAGTTGAGGCTGGTGATCAGGATGCCCCCTTTGGAGGTTTTCCAAGCATGTCCAACTGGGAGAGGACCCAGAACTTGCTGAACAAACCATGTAACCCAAAAGCCTCAGATCTGCCAAGGCAGCAGGATCTGCAACTCGGTTTCAGATCAGGGGAAGACCTTTAGAGAAAGTTTTCTGGGGTTCTTGTCATCCTGCTGTTTCCTGGCAGAAAGCAGAAAGTGTCACTGCACAAACTGTTTTTTGCCTTCTGTATTTTATTGTTAAACAATACCTCAAGCCTTGTGGTAAAATTTAACTGCTTCTCCTTTTTCAGGCAGATGTAGATAAGGCAGTGAAGGCTGCACATAACGCCTTCAGGCTGGGCTCACCATGGCGCCGTATGGATGCATCTGATCGGGGCAGACTTCTTTACAAATTAGCCGATGCTATTGAAAGAGATTCTGCCTACCTCGCTGTGAGTTCATATTTAATGTTGCAACAGTCAAACAGCATTTGAACGAATGTCTGGCAAGTTCTTACTTTTAGTAGTCCAGTACAGTAAATAACATGCTTACATTTCTTTTCATTAATGTGTGTGAAATTGAATATGTGTGAAATTGGCATAAGGGTCTACAACAAACCGGCTCAGTCTCACAGATTGAAATTGTTGTTCTGCTAGTATAGAAATAATCTGATATGTCATATTACAGTTTCTCTGGATGTAATCTGTTTTTGCTAAGACTAAAGTCATAAATCCTAAAATCACAATGCCAACACAGTGAAGCCAATGTCAGATCAGTTAGCAGCCTCTTTTTGTTTTGTTTTTACCAAATTAGTTTTAAGAAAATGTAATCTATACAGATGTGACTATTAGAAAATAGGCTCTCTAAAATGTCTTATGAAGGTGTTTTAAGCAGAAGGCAGAATGCAGTTTAGTGTTGAATTTTAATTGTGGGTAAATAGTTTTGATTTTTTTTCTCGCACTTGAACAAGAATTGGGTTCAATACTAAAATATCCACCATTTGCATTTGAAAATGGTTCCAGTTTCATTCTAAGAAAATGAGAGGACCATATTGGACACTAAGTCAGTATGTTGATCCGAAACTGACATTGTTGCCAACCAGTTACTTAAACTTTATTAAAGCATTTAGATCAGGGGTCCCCAAACTTTTTCCTGCGTGGGCCACATAGCTGTTCCTTTCTCTGGTCGGGGGCCGGTCTTAGTATTTGGAGAAAGATACCTTAGAAAATTTTTAGTGGACCGGGGGGGGGGGGGGCCCCCAAAAAAGTAAAAAAAATTTTTCCCCAAAATGAAAATGGAAAAAACCGTGAGTGAAACGGTGACTGGGACTGACTAGTACATATTCCATTGAGGGAAAGTTAGTTTCACATCTGCTCAAGAGCGCCCCT